TAAATCAGTGAAAATGAAGGCAAAAATCGTTATGCATAAAGGAAAAGCCAACGACAACCAATACACTAAATAACAACAAAATGAAAGACAAAAACAGTAATAACAAAGGCAAAAAAGAACAAAAGTGATAGATCTTAATGTTACGCCTGATGTCCCAGATGACATTAGAACACTGTCTGGGACACTAGTTATTCAGTTTACTCTACCGATTAAATTAAACAACACAGGAAAACTAATCAAGCATAAAAGATAAATGAACACGCAATATGGTATCGTAGTTCGGTGCTCACACCTACTCTGAGGGGCCACGCCCAGACAGTAAACAGTTTCACTATTTTTTTAAGAATTACAACCCTGACGGACTTAATCACTCAAAGACTCCCTCCTAGACTATGACGCCGCTGTGATGAACTCTCACAATGACACTGTTTAACGTGTACCACACGTCTTCACCTTTCATTATTGAACTCCCTTCAGTTAATCAAACTTTCAACATGAAACACAGAACCACAGATTGTTCTTCTTAATCACTGTCTCTCTGACACTAGACTTTTCTGTGGTTATCAAAATCACCTTTTCTTCTGCAGAGCCACTTTCCATATAAAAGTATTCCACGTATCTTCAACTTTTGAACCTGTGTTAGTTACCAAAAAATCCTCTCAGCATTATCTACAGCATCTCACCTTTTGTTTTTTCCTTCCAAAACTCACAGATTCACCTTTTTAAAATTTAATGAATTAAATCTACTCAGGAGATAACCCACCAACTGATCAAGGATATTAGCCTTATCCGATTTACCACAAGCTAATCTTCAAGTCAACAAATCTGATTTTTCTACACAAAATCCGATCTCAAATTCAAATGACAGCACTTTCTTCTTCTCCAAAAAACAGACATCTGAATAATGCCTTCTAAAACCTAGTATTTGAATCTGTACACTCAAAAACTATTTTGCCAACCCAGCCAATTAACTAAAACCTAACAAAAAGTATAAACAATAACGTAAACACAAGCAATACAAAACAAAACAAAAGGGAATAGCACTAAAATAAACAACAAATAACCAAAAAAAAAAAAAAAAAAAAAAAAAAAAAAAAAAAAAAAAAAAGGGACACCCGATTATTTAAACCCAAGGATACCAAAAAAAAAAAAAAGACAATAAACAACAATAACAAGGACAACCGATGATTTTAAACCTAGGATACCAATAACAATAACAAGCCAATTAGCAACAACGAAATCCAAAAAGGGCAGAACTCAAATCAATGAGCAGATGATAAACTAGGATACCAGATAATGAATGGAAGTCAACAAATAACAACGATGAACGTGAACGTGAAACCCAAAACGGAGAAATGAAAGAAAAAACATGGAAAAAAATGCACACAGACGATTGAATTCAAAAATAAAAAAAGAGGAAAAATAATAACCGGGTTAAAAAAATAGCATATAATCACACGGCCGATTGATTACAAAAAAAAAAAAAAAAAAAAAAAAAAAAAAAAAAAAAAAAAAAAAAATTTTAAAAAATCAATTAAATTTTAAAAAGGAAAGTAAATATCTAAAATATAAGCAGGAAAAATCAATCTACAAATAAATAAAACCTAACCATATAAAGAATATTACTCAAAATACTAAGTAAGGGCAATATCAGAGAGAAACATGCAGCCGGCATCTTGTAATATTGTAAAATAGTCAATATTTTTAAAAATATAGATTCAAGAATAGGCATCTTATGTAAATACTTCTTTATATATTAGGGTATATTTATAACAGTGGATTGAGATAGAAAATTTAAAAAAAAAAAAAGAAATAGTAAAATGTACACAATAGTTATTATAAGGGAGAATGAGAAAAATAGTATATTTTGACTTTTAAAGGGTAGAGTCAAAACAAATTTTGGAATATAGAAATAAATTACATATTGTATCAACAAAAGTTACAAAATAGTGAAAATACCCGCATCTTTTTCTCCACGCCAAAATTGTCTCGTCGTCTCCATTGTTACCTCCTTTTATATATTTTAATAAATGCCATTTGTTCTAATGTCTAATTTTTCATTAAGAAAATATAAAACCTACTATCTATTACAATTAATTTCATACCTGCTCAGTCGTTATAATTATTTACAAGAAACTGTATTTACTCAAATTTTATTCCTCTAGGCTCAAAGGTTCTTGAACTTTTCTCATCCTTTCAAAAGAAAACTCTATGGCATGCCACCGAAATTTAAGCGTTTTACATTTCTATCGCTGAATTTTAACAGGTTATTTTGTCCAATGAATATAATGGCATATATCTTAAACTTATGTGACTAGATGGCATAAATAAAACAATGGCATCCATTTAAGTGGTATGTTTTTATTTCTCCCCTCCATGGAATTTGGCCAAGAGATAGCCCAAAGCATCAAACAACTGAAAACGACATTAATGTAAAACCGACACAAATCAAAGAAACAACAACAACAACTTGGACTTTGGCCAAGAGATAGCCCAAAGCATCAAATGTAAAACCGACACAAATCAAAGAAACAACAACAACAACATGGACTTTGGCCAAGAGATAGCCCAAAGCATCAAACAACTGAAAACGACAAACCGACACAAATTAAGGAAACAACCACAACATTGCAAGTGACATCAAATGGTTAAACGACTTTAGCTTGTAGAAAGGAAACGGATTAGAGAAACGACAAGATGTTGTAAGAACGACAATAACTTATGCAAAAACGGCAGCCACGGCGACGACATATATGCATAAATCCTTTACGGCGACCAACTTGGCGACGGTGTGAGATCTCTTGTGGGTATTGATACTTGTTATTTATCTTTTGTGGGCTGAACACCGTTTGGTGTTATTTCTATGCTATTGTTGCTTATCTTAATATTTGTCGTTTCTAGATCTACTGTCGTTTGATCGTTTCTGTCATTTCAATTTTGTTGTCGTTTTTAAAAAGTTTTGTCGTTTACGTGGATAATATCGTTTAGACCGTGTGCGGCTTTCCTTAAAACTGTTAGACCAGAACAATCCAGTGATTTTTAGACCGTTGATATGATTCTACAGAGCTGTTCATTGGTAGCTAAAACCACAATCAAACCTTTTTAAAAACAATCCGATCCGATTTGGGTACTTGTTGTTGTTGTTGTTGTTGTTGTTTTTTCTATGGCCATGTTATATCACCGTTTGACTTTACTTAGGGACTTGTTGTTATGTGTTGGACGCCCATAGTGAGTTGAATCATGTGGCATTATTTATTTGATTAGAATTTATTTTAATTAAATAAATAAACCCTAAGTTAGTGGGTTAGTGTGTTATTTGGGATACCCAAAACTGATAGGGGTCCTTTAAATAAGGATCACATCACCACCTATCATAGAGACTGAGTTAGTTGCTCAAATATGTGACATTTTTTCATCTCATTCTCTCTCTCATTCTTTCTCCTTCACGTTAGTTTCTCAAAGTGGACGGTAAATTTATCATGGTTCTTTAGGCTCTATCTTTGTAATAACTACGCATACTATGAACAATCAAGTACGTATTAACGGAGGAATGTCGTGAGGCTTCCTGTGATGATTCCTAAACCAGTGCCAAATCGGAGATCGAATACGACACCACCAAAACGCTTCTGCATTTGTACCAGGGGTAGTTTTTCCGTCATTGTGTAAAAGGAACTTTTAGTAATTACGTTGCTAATATTGCTATTTTTAATTTTAGTAAACATTAGAAAGAAAATGAAATTGTTTCTCATTACACTATCTAATAGACAACTAAACACTTTAAAAGGAATCATTGATCCTTGACACTATTACTTTACTTTTCTTTCCAATCAAATTGTCTTTCCCATTACATTTCTTATAGTTTTGTAAACGTGCCCTAATTGTTGACTTTACTAGGGATGGTTTCATATGTCAAATCGTTTAGATGTGTCACATTTTTCTTTTTTATTCTTGATGTTTTTACAATTAAGGTCGCCATTTAATTTTGAATTCATTATTTTTTTAGGTTAATACCACAAATGATATCTGAGCTTTACCCTCAATCTCAGTTTGGTAACTGACTTTTAAAATGTTTTATAGTTTGTTTCCGTTTTTCACATTTTTTTAGGATAAAAAATTGAAACCGGCAGAAAGAATGCATTTGGTGCAACATTTTACCAAAATTGAAAACAAAAACGTTTTTGAATTTTTCCCAAAAACTATCACATTTCTGAAAACGAATTAAACTCCTTTTCATTTTCTCATTTTCATTTTCTCTCTTCTCTGTTTTCTGCCTTCCACCAGTCTCAACGTAGCCCCTTCTCGCCCGATCTGCTCCGTGGGAGTCAAGGTTGGAGTAGTTGGAGTACTCCAGAAGAAGAAGAAGAAGAAGAGCTGAGCTGAAGAAAGAGGGTGGGTTTTGGAAAGTGGTTTTATGGGGGGTTTTGTTTGTTTGATTGATTGATCAGTGTTTGGAAGCCATGGGAGGTGGGGTTTTGTTGTTGTTTTCTTGCTTTCCGGTGGAATACGACGGAGAGAGAGATGAGAGAGAATATCACTGGTTTTGGGAAGTGGTTTTATGGGGGGTTTTGTTTGTTTGATTGATTGATCAGTGTTTGGAAGCCATGGGAGGTGGGGTTTTGTTGTTGTTTTCTTGCTTTCTGGTGGAATACGACGAAGAAAGAGATGAGAGAGAATATTGCACAGTGAAGAGAGAGAATATTGCACGGAGGTGGGGTTTTGTTATATTAATTATTAGTATTTTTATTTGGAATTTAATTATTATTTATTTAATATATTATTATTTTAAATACTATTACATGTTTTTAAAAATTAAATCACCAAACGCAGTTTCAGTTTTTTTTAAATTGAAATCAATCTCTGAATAAAATTACTAAACGTATTTTTAGAAATAATTTTAAAATAAAAATGAAAACGTTTTTATTTCTATTTTTATAAGAAAATAAAATTATTTTAGAATGAGTTTCAAATGCACCATGTGATTATGATTTTTTAGAGACATTCCTCCAAAATTTATGGTGTGAATGTTGTTGTCAAACAGGGTTTTAGGGGAGGGCTCGTAGCAGTCCTAAGGCCCATCTTCCCCTTTTCCCTTTTCCCTGACCCTTGTTTCTCGCTCCTCCCAACTTAAACCCTAAACCCCAAGTATTTCAACCAGAAAAAAGTGAAACCTTTGGAACCCCAGAAACACAATCAACAACCTAGGGAGAGAGTGAGAGAGGAGAGAGGGGAGAGAGAGTGCAATGGCGGGACGAGGAGTGAAGCAGCAAACAATGTCGGAAAGCACGTTGGAGACAGAGACAGAGACAGAGACAGAGACAGGGACAGAGTCAGAGTCGTCGTCTGTGGATCCGAAAGGAGGCGGAGGGCTTAGATGGCTTGAGAAGCTTTCGGACGTTCCGATGGGAAAACTGCCTCCCCATCTCGAGTTCCAGAGGACCCATGTCGAATGCAAGGCTGATGCTCCCCTTCATGTACATCTCTCTCTCTCTCTCTCTCTCTCTCTCTCTCTCTCTCTATATATATATATATATACACACACATATGTATATGTGATCCATTTTCCTGTTTATTTGAATTTTGAAGTCATTCTTACAAACCCTTTTGTGGGTTTTCTTTTCTTAAGTGTAATTGTTTTCACAAGGAGAAAAAAAAGGAGCATTTTTTTAATGCTCTGTATAATCAATTTGGTCATTGTATATGTTTTTTGGTATAATTCCAACAAATTCTTTTGTGGGGGGATCTTCTTTTTGGGGGGTGTGATGATTTTCAGAAGGAGCAATGAGCATTTTTTCCGAGAAAAGGAAGTAGCTTTTGTGTGGTTTGTTTAATTGATGTTACTCGGAGTTGGCAAGATTGTAGGATAATAAACCATATTGTGAAGTTAGGAATTTAATAAAAAAATAAAAGGAAAACAAAAAAAAAAGGAAAAAGAAAAAGAAGTGGGCTTCTTTTCTGTAATTGGATTTTGCTTGAAGAACTTTGTTGGTGCTGGCACGGAAAGATGGAAAAGGGTAAAAAGTGCATTTTTATTTTCCGACAAAAAGAGTAGTTTTTGTTTGTTTTGTTTATTTGATGTTACTCAGATTTGGCAAGGATTGTTGGATGATAAACCACATTTAGAATTTAGTCATTCTTCCCATCTTAAATTGGCATAAGTCAATTGAAATGGGCTTTATTTGTTCTAGTCTTTCTCCAACACCTTATGCTTGTAAATCTTTCTTATAACAAAACACGTCTGGTGCTTGCAGACCGATACTATACAGTATTCTGGTGCCTACGCATCGTTAGGAGTTGACAATAGTGTACGGATGGACAGTTTCTGTGATAATTTCAGAGTTGAAGTGATGCGGTTAACAGAGGATGACATGGAGTTTGATATGATTGGTATCGATCCAGCACTTGCCAATGCGTTTCGGAGAATCCTTATATCCGAGGTGCAGTAGCTTTCTCTATCTTCAAATAACGTTGTTTATGATTGCTTGCAGAGGTCTGATCTTGTTTTTCAAATTATATTTTTCTGAAATAGTAATTATTGTATCGTGGATTTTTAATGTGGATTTTCTTTCTTAAGTTTTAATTTCTTTTTCTTAATTTTTGTGACCTTAATTTGTTTGTTGATGGGAAGTCAAATTTCTTCTCTGTACTTTGTGATACATAAATTTGTAGATATGATGGCTGAGTTGATAATGTACTTGTTGTAATGGTGAATTTTAGGTGCCAACAATGGCTATTGAAAGAGTTCTTATTGCAAATAATACATCAGTCGTCCAAGATGAGGTGCTTGCCCACAGGTTGGGTCTCATTCCAATCAACGTTGACCCTAGATTGTTCGAATTTGCAGGTTCGGATCGAATATGAATTTTTTTATTGATTTGATTTCCTTATTTGCCCTTGCAACGTTAGGGAGATGAAGTTTTTAGTCTTTGATAATGCTAGGAAATAATACTCCGAATGAGAAGAATACTATTGTCTTTAAACTCCATGTTCGTCGAAAGCCAAATGAACCGAGTTCAGGTACTAATGTTTTTCTTTTTATTTGTGGTAATATGACCAACTGACTATGAAATTCTCGTTCTGTTTTTTCTTTGGACTCCCATTGTGTATCTTTTCTCTAATTTTGATATAACAATGTAGTAAAATCAAATGAATTGATTTGGTCACCAAAAGGGAGTGAATTTCTTTTGGCATCAGAAGATTCTAAGTCAGCAGATACATCCTCGAAACCAAGAACGTACACGTCATTCACTTGTAGACAAGACTCCCTGCCAGAATTTTCCAACAACGCAATCAAGGTCATGGAAAATATTCTCATTGCTAAACTTGGTCCTGGTCAGGTAAATCTTGTTGTATCCTGTCGTAGCATCATAATCTTCCTTATTTCAAGTTCTTTTGGTGCACATACTGTTCTACCCATGTCAAAGCCATCTCAAATAAACTCAAATTTAGTTTTTTTATTTAGTGAGTATTTTTTTTAACGTTGATCATTAACATCTTGAATAACTAGTTTGAAAATATTTCTCTGTTGCTTCGCTTTATTTTCTCCAACAGGAAATTGAACTGGAAGCGCATGCTGTCAAAGGAATTGGTAAAACACACGCTAAATGGTCCCCGGTGGCTACTGCTTGGTATAGGATGCTTCCCGAGGTATCAAGCTATGTGATTCAACGACTTTTTTCTATGCCTTGCCAAGTTTATTAGAAGGTTTTTTATTTATATTTTATTTTTTGTTTCTATTTTAGGTTGTACTTTTGCAAGAGGTTGAAGATGAGGCTGCAGAGGAACTTAAAGCTAAATGCCCGGTTGGCGTCTTTGATATTGAAGACATTGGCAAAGGTGAAATGATATTCTTTTTTCTGATTTTTGTTTTTGATGTGATAGACTTTTCGGTACGATAGAAAATATTTTATCTTTGTTTGATTCTAAAAGCACTTCAATGGTTAGAATTGGAGCTTTAGAATTTTGGTCTAGTGGCACTGGGGAGGTTTGAGTGGGGGGTTGCATCCCATCTTGTATTAAGAAAAAAAAAATCTGGATCTTTTAATGATAAGTTGACCATCAAACAGGTAGGAAAAGGGCAACCGTAGCCCGACCTCGAGGTTGCACACTTTGTAGGGAATGCATTAGAGGGGGTCAACAATGGGAAGATCGTGTTTCGCTGCGTCGCCGCAAAAATCACTTTATATGTAAGTAATCAGTTATTGACGCACACATATATCTGGTTTTTTTTTTTTTTTTTTTTTTTAACCATTATAGTTTTCTTACATGCTTTAAAACAATCTAATTTTTCATTTGTGCGTCTTCAGTTAACATTGAATCAACCGGAGCTTTGCCTCCAGAAGTGCTATTTACCGAAGCCGTGAAGATTTTGGAAGACAAATGCGAACGAGTGATTGCTGATCTTTCATGACGGTTTGCTGTTGATCTCCTTAATACCAAAATCTAGTGTTAAAGGATTTATTGGCTTGATAAAAAATACTTCTGTACAAGGATATGTTTTATGTTGATGCAATCAAGAAAAGGGTCATTTTTTCTTCATGGATTTGTCTATTGTCTTGGGCAAGTTTGCAGAGAGTTCAGTGTTAACTTTGTTTCTGGTTCGGATTGAGATGATCCAAGTCTAGTATAAATAATTCTACCAAAAAAGGCCAGTATAAAGAAAAGAAAAGGGAACTACTTCCGTAAGTAAAATTTAAGAGCTACTTAGATCCTCATTAAACGGTGCAAGTTAATTCAAGCAAGGCTATATAATGGGCGAGAAAATTTGTCGAGGCTAAATAAGTGGTTAGGTGCGTAATTGTGTGCGTTTGTCTATTAAGATTCAAACCCTAATTATCATTTTTTGTTAGTAAAGTGAGAGTTATAGGCCCCAACCCTCATATTGTATCAAAAATTAAGTGTTTACATAAACTTGAATGAAATATGGCATTTCCAATTAAACCACCTCACAGGCACCAACATGCCAAAAGTCATAGTTTATTGCCTTCTAAAGATTGTAGGATTTGGTAGAGGGCTCTAGTTTCAAACTCGGGCTTTACAAAAATGAGCTCGGGAGATTTCTTGGTATAAAAAAAAGATGGCACTTCCAACCCCATTGTTTGCACAAAATAACTAATCTTGCCCAACTTTCAGTTCTCTTATGCATAAAGCGTTTTAAGCATGGGTGCTTAATGGCACTTGCAACCCTGCTACTCCTAGCCTTAAACACTAGGTTAAACTTAGGTTCCGTTCACTTCACTGATTCGAGTTTAGAATTTGAGTTTTATTACAGTAAAAAGTTCTCAGAAACAGTCACATCTAATTTTTTTGCTACAGTAAAAAACTCTCACATAAAATTACATTCCAACTCGAATTACAAACTCGAATCAGCGAAGTGAACGGGCACTTAACTTGTTTACTGTGTGGTTACGCTGGATACACAAATCACAAGCAGTTTACTGTGTGGTTACGCTGGATACACAAATCACAAGCAGATATATTTGCAATGCGGCCGTTGGAAACACTACTCAAAGATGGGGGAGCACGGTTTTTTTTTTTTTAATAGAAATGCTAGCGTCAATCTCTCTGTACTCTGTCATTTTTTACATTCACTATTTAATAAGTGCACTTCACTAACATAATATATTATTATTTAAATAAAAAACGAGATAGTGAAGTACGTGTGTCAGACAGTGAATACAGAACGTGACAAAGAAAGTAACAAACGAGTGACTCTAGCATTTTCTTTCTTTTTGTAATTAAATTTAGATGGGAGAACTTAATCCATTATGATGAAGCCTCTCCATTGAAAGAGGCACATAAAAGTAATTACATTAGATGCAACACTTTCCAATAACAAAAGAGGAGACCCCAACATCAAAAGTGCAAGAATCATAAGTGTAAATTCCATATCGTAACTTGTAAGAACAAAATGCATAATCTTCCTCTTTCTTCTATTACCCTTTCCCTTTGGCAACTAAACTTTTAACAACATTGAACACATCTAGACCTATACAAATCGAGCGCTAAATTTATCCTAAATGGGAAAAAGTTAGTAACAGAAACAACATAATATACAAAGAAACCTATTGAGCTGGATCTTCAGAGAATCTAGCATCGAAAGGAGCAGACGACGGATGGGAATGCACAGAGCCAGCAGAACCTCCTCCAGAACCGTGTTGCAGCTCGATCACGAGCCACCGGACAGCCTTACTCATCTGCTCCAAACGGACAGCGCTGATGGGCGGGAGGTCCGTGGCGGATGGCTGCCCCGATTTCCCAGCCACTGAGCCCGTCGCCTCATCCACCAGGCATTCTGATCCTATCCTTTGCTTAACAGATTCCACAAACTCCTCGGCCTGATCACAGGCCACCCTGAACAACTCCCATTTCTGCTTGAAATTCTCGAGAGCGGCATCAGTGGCCGCCGTTTTCTGGCCCCCGGAAGTCTCCTTGGCTTCAAGAACATTGGCTGACGCAGCCACAAACTCTTGGTATGCATTGTTCAGAGAATCAACCATGTTGTCCATTGTCACTTTCACTGGTAATCTGTACAAGAAATATACCAAAATTTGAATAAGTGAAAATGCCCCAAAACAAAAAAGGCCATCATAACTTGGAATAATTTAAAAAAAAAAAAGGAGAAAAATTGATTAAAAAAAATATCATAAGAATGTTTAAAACAATAAATAATGATTCTAGAGGAAACTAGAAAAAATGCATTTTGCCAACCCTAGATTATCATTCCAAAAGCCAATTGAATTAGAAAAATCATACCTTTTTTTTGGCTATTTAATCAACCATGATGTTTCAATTGTAGCTCTTACTGGTAATGAAAATTCAGAAAACACCCCAGAATTCAAATGAGCAGAAATGAATACAGATAAAGATCGTTTTAGGGGAAAATCATAACTTGGAATGATATATAAATTGAAGATAGTTTTATGTAAAACAAACGTTAGATTATCACCAGAAAGCTTAAGATAATGAAAATTGAAAAGGGAAAAAATCAATTTCTAAGGCAAAGGGAAAAAATAAACAAAACAAATCAAGCAATTGAAAAACAAACCCTAAAGCCCGAAAGACCCAAACACCGCAATATTTGGTTACCAAAATAGAGTAAAAAATTGAACTTTGGTACCTGAGCTTCAGTTTCAGTGGGATTTCTTTTAAATTTTGGAGCTTGAAACGAGAAGCTGAGAGCTGAAAAATTGGGGATTATCTTTCGCTTTTTTTTTTTTTTTTTTGAGAAAATAAATTACAGTGAAGATTTCAAATCGTAAAGGGGCGTTTGGTATGCAGAAATCAGTAGGAATCATATTTCTGAAAAAGTGATGGAGAATAATATGATTTCTAGGAATAATACATTACTGTGTTTGGTTGTGCATGGGAATATTGTGAATTAAAAAATATATATTATTTTTAGATGAATTACAATTAGCACTAATATTTTAAAAAGTATAAAATACAACACAACAAGTAGTCCATAAAATTATCAAATAATAGAGAACAAGTAGTCCATAAAATCCTCTATACTTAAAAGTTCTTATAAAAGTTCTAAATATGAGAACATATACTTGAATAAGGTTCCAAACCTGAAATTAAAAGTTGTAAATCTAGGACCACATATAAAAGTTCTAAAGATGCCATCAAAAGATCTAAATATTAGACAATGTACTCAAGTTTGTAAATATAGCACCACAAGCTTCAACCTAACTCATTCCAAAAGAGATAGAAGAAAATCTAACTTAAATTCATTATCCAACATGAAGAAATTTAGCAATACTTCATAGAGACGTAACACCGCTTTTAAGACAATATTGAATTGTCTACTTATTGTTTCACCCGAGCGTGCAAATAGGCATTTCATAATCCTATTTTTTTAATCATGAGCTAATATATGTAGGAATATAGCTACCAATTCTTCAACATCCATATTTTTTGTTCCCCTCAAATTGCCAATGGTTCGAAGGTAGTTACATAGGATAGTAAATGTTCTCCTATTCATATGAGAGCTTTTAAGACATGCTAAGTCACTCTCATGTATCAATCGATGGTAATTTAGTTGGCGTATACGATGTCAGCGATAAAAACTCTCACCCCATCTATTTCTACGCAACATTTCTTACTAATAATTACAAATATCATAAGCATGAACAAAAATGTCATTTCATTTAACATCTCCATATATTGAACCAAAATAGCCACAATTCTTTTTTTTTTTTTTTCCAATGGAAGAAGATCCATATATGCTCATTGAAGGGAAAAAAAGAAATAAGCATACTTAATATAAAATTAACTTAATAGACGAATCTTCTAGCCAAAAATTAACTTAATAGCCAAAAAGAATTTAACTTGAAGCATTTTACTTCTACAGAACCAAACATAAGGTTGCTAGCTTTGAAGCATTTTACTTCTACAGAACCCAACATAAGGTTCATTCTTCAGATTACAGATTACGGGCAAAGTATTAGGATTACATAAAGAAATCGAGGTGCTTTTTGGTTGATGGAGGTTGTGTCTCAGGCGGCGGATGCAAAGAAGGATGGAGCATTCTTGAGAAAATACAGGGGTTCATCTTATGTTTTAGTCGTGGAGGTAAAGAGAAATAGCAAGGGACAAAAAATCGATTGGGAGGAAAACAAAAAAGGATTGTGTTAATTTTCAAGTTCTGGTTCAAACCCAGATGCGCCGATGGGGAGAAATAGCAATCTATGCAATCGATGGGGAGAAATAGCAAGGGACAAAAAAGGATGAAAAAATCGTGGCCGTTCTGGTTCAAACCCAGATGCGCCGACGACGTTCTGGTTCAAACCCAGATGCGCCGACGACGTTCTGGTTCAAACCCAGTGAGATTTTCAAGTTCAGATAAAAAATTAACACAAATCGGAAAGTTCAGATCAAAAATTTTTCACAGAAAAAGGAGAAAAAAAGGAATCATACTCTGGTGGTGGCGGCAGAGGAAAGTCCGGCAACGGCGTGGTGGATCGGAAGGCGGCGGCGGCGTCCTCGACGGAAGCGGTGCTGGGTCTGGACGAGAGAGAGGCTGGGTCTGGACGAGAGAGAGAGATGCGATCGACAATGGAACGACAGAACTGTAGACGACTTCTACAGCCTACCAGCGACAACCCTGACTAATATACGTCAACATCAGTTTGATATACGACAGTCGACCTAAAGATCCACAATATCGTTGCATACGACAAAAACTTTAGAAAATAACATGGTATTTTGTATTAACGACAACATTTTAGAGTAAACAACATGGACACCTTGGTAGGAGAAAAAGCCTTCGAAACGACAAAATTATTAAAAATGATGAAACAACAAAAATTTTAGAAAACGACTACAACCAAGAGGAAGAGTGATAACAGTCTCATAAACGGCAATGAATCTAGAAAACAACATCATAGCTTAGTAATAACAACAAGGTCACCTTCTTACGAGTTACGACAAAACAAACCTAAGAGAACGACAACATATCTTAGAAATGAAACTGTTGACGGTGTTTTTCTGACAACGCGTAATTCGCTCTCCAAAGACACTCTCAGTAACACTCACGGCTTAATTAAGGATTAAAGTGGAAAAATAATGCAAAGGAGACAGAGATTTATAGTGGTTCGGCAAGAACTCTTTGTCTAATCCACTTGTGGATGCACTAATATCTTTTGGGATTACAAGCTCTCTTGGAATAATAAAACAGTGCGTAACCCCTCAATGGTTTTTTTAGGCTCTATTTATAGGCCTTTACATATAATCATTTCTTCTGCGCTTTCCCGAGGAGGAAGCCATTTTCTATCCCTTGATTTTAGGGTGGGTAGGTGTATTTTCATGATGACCTCTCTTATCGGCCGCTTAATTTACTGACTTCGACAGTAGCAGTCGGCGCAGTGTATCCTTTCCTGAGTTGACAAGACTTGTTGATGGATTTAACTGGACTTGCTGCCTCGACGTAATGGCCACGGTGCTCGACGTTCGTCGCATTGCACGGGCTCTCGACGTCCAAAGGGCACCTTAGCTACAGTAGTTCTCTCGACGCCTGTAACTGGTTCTCAACGAGGAGTCATCGGCGCCTGTCGTGCGAGAGGACGGCCGATTGCTCGACTATGGTGTAACATAAACTTTTATATTTGTTTTAAGGTGACCGTCCATTAAACAACGTCAATCTCATGTGATATTAACCATTAAACGACACAAGGTCATATTACTTCAGAAACGAATAGAGCTTAAGAAATAATTGTTTCAAGTAAACAAGTAGACTTAAGGAAAGCATGATTTATTAGAAAGAAAAATGTCACCTTCAAAACAACGACGAGAAAACGACGTCGGTCTGTAAATGTTGCGACGCCTCCAACAAACTACTGTAGCTTTATAAAATCAACATATATTACATCTTAAACACAGTGAGAGCCATAAAGACGACAACATGGTTAAAAAAAAAAAAGTAATATAAAACCTATTGTATTCACTATTTATAGGGAAAATCATTTATATTTCATGTCATGAGTAGTGATATCATATCCTATCTACAAAGACTACAACGAACCAGTAAAGAAACGATGAGATAAAATAATAAAATTACTTGGATCAATTGGAAAATTTCATGTTATTTACTATTTAGCATATGTTTGGTGTTCCAACCATAACTCTTCGGATTGATAATAATATGAATTTCTTTCCTGTCATCCTATTACATATTAATCCAGTGACCAAGGAAAAAAAAAAGGAGATAAATGGAATAAAGAAAAATGAATTGATTTCGGAGAAAGGAGACAAATACCCTTTAAAACGTATGAGTCTGAATTTTTACTCTTTATTTTTGCTTAATATTCTTTTAAATTAAATAACTATATTAATCAAAAAGATATTAATAAAAAATAAATGATAAAAATTCAAACTTATTCACTAAATTTCAGCAGTTTTCTCTTTGATTTCCTATTTCTAATATTCTCACTTCTTTTTAATCGGGCTGTAGTTGCCTAATTTCAAAACCTTAATTCCTTGTCACTAAAAATCAATATAATTACTTTGCTTTCAAATAAAAAAAATCCATATAACTACTTTTTCCTTAATTAAAAAAAAAAGCAAATCTAGTTTAACATTAGAGAGGTGTTGCTTTATATAACTAAAATAGAAAAATAGTTGACTCCAGTTCAATATTGGAGGTCTCCATGGCTAAAACTTTTTGGCAAAAAAGAAAATAATGACAGCTAAATTATCAGAAAGAAAATAAAAAGAAGACAATCCTAGAAAATGGATGTCCTTTAAATACAAAAGATAAAAGCCCTCTTCTTTTTTTTTTTAGGCCTCTTTGAGCCTACCGTCCTAAAAGTTGTACTTGCTTGTCTACCAATGATGTAATGCAAAATTCAGACTTCAACCCCAAAAAAAAAATTGCAAAATTCAGACTTGAGAATTTCATTTTCAGAAAACTTCAATCAAATTACTCTCAGGCCTTAGGCCTCATTCATTTCACCGATTCAGATTTTTAATTTTAAGTTTTTACAATAAAATTTTTTTAAAAAATATCACATTTAACTTTTTCTGTTACATAAAAATTTTTTAAAAAATGTCACATCTCAACTCAAATTGAAAACTTAAATTTACGAAGTGAACGATAATCACCGCACATCCAAACTTCTATAAATTAGTTTTCAATTTCTTTTCCATTTTTGCCCTTATTCTTTTAAGATTCGTTGGTGGGGTTGTTCTACTAATTAACTAAAGATGTTCAATGGCATAGTGGGCAAAAATTAGCACAAGTCATTAATTTCCAAAGGAGGCACAATTACTATGACCCATATCCAAGCATTATAGTATCGTGAAGAAAAGAAATAAATATCATGGCAAAAATGAAAAAGAAAAAAGAAAACAAAAAACAAAAGAAGCTAATTAAAGAGATTAAACTAACATCATTGATGATCCTGCCGTGCCTATTCCTCTTGAATGCACTTGATTAATTTAGATAAGTAACATAATTTGGTTTGTTAGTAATTACATTTATTTTTTTGATATAAAAATACAAATACTATTGGCTGGAATGACGTTTACCAGGAAATCTTATTTTATATTTATGTATTATGTGTCTTTCGTCATCTTGTTAAGAATTAGACGTTCTAATTTTATATAATTAAAAACAATAAAATTATAAAAATAAAAATGAACACATAAAATTTATAGTGGTTCATTTTAATTTGATACTTACATTTTTTTTGGCTATTATAGTAATTCACTATGATGGAGATGAAGTTTATAAAAAAAAAAAAAAAAAAATCGCACATCTCTCAAACAATTAACAATATGAGTTTACAAACTTAATAATCTCTAACTTAAATTTTAATTTGTTAGATCAAAGTCCGATTGAAGAACTTCAGTTTTTCAATTGGATCAATCTTCATCAACATATCAACTAGGCTCTGAGTCCCACAAATCTTCTCAAGTGCTAAGACTCTACTTTCAGGAAGAGTTTTTCAATTGGATCTTACCATGAATGTTGATCTATGAATTCCTTTTTACGGAAAGCAATAATTGTCATTATAATTATTAGGCTCCACAATTTAACACATCTTATCAAAACTTGATTTAAGTCTTTAAAAATTCATTGAAAAAACATCACTATATAAAAAAGTCCAACTAAAACTCAATACTCTTCATATCCAAAATAGCCAAATTATTTAAAAATTTGTATTGTAGTTATTAACCCTCTTGACAAACTTTTCTGGCTTCGACACTGTCTGTAACATGTATTATTATTATTATTCTTTCTCTAGTTGTACACACTATCACTCTCCAAAGAGCTATTTGGTTAGTTGTTTCAGTTACCTTGATATTTAATAGACTTTAATCAAGAAATGAAAGGGCTGTTCTTTTGCTGTTTTTGAGTTAGGTGACTTACGTATAGATTTTGAGTTGAGTTTAAGTTATAACTTGAGTTGAAGTTGTAAATTGAGTTTGTATTTAGGTGTGTACATTTAAGTTATGGTTTGAGATAAGAATCTTTTTGAGGTTGTATTTCAGTGAGTCAAAACTTAAATTTGTATTTAGATAGTATTTTAATAAAAACTCAATGCTGATAGAAAATTTTAATAGGGTATATGAGTGAGGTTTTATTCGTCTTTTCGTTGTCAACGCATAGAAAAAAAATCATCTCAATCAGAATTAAAACGAAAAAGTTATAACATTTTTAAAAATAGAAAAAATACTGTTCATTAATTTGAGTTCGAGTTTCTGAAATTGAGTTGAAGGGAAAACTTGAACTCGAGTTTTAGTCATAAATTCGAGTTCAAACTTAAAAGAACATAAATTTAAATAAAGTTATAACTCGAGTTGTTTTTTTTTTTTTTAATTTTTAACTCAAAAAAGGGGCTGCCGAACAGCCCTGAAGTTATCTTCAACTTGAAGCTGTTGAAAATGGAGGATTATGGGCATTTAAGTGATGTTGTCTGTGTTTGCCACAAAGGTGAAAGAATCAATCAATTTGGAAACATTAGGTTGTTGGGTATGTTTTGTACAAAATTTTGAGACACTACTCTGTAGAAGAGCACGAGTGGCCATTTTACTTATTTCCACAACTGTTTGCATTAATGAGGTGGGTTTAAAACCTTTAGATCCATTGAATTTTTGGCCTTTGATTTTTAAGTTAAGAAAGAAAATCTTGATTCTAGTTTTTTTTTTTTTTTTGAGATTAACAAAATTGGCAGAATATACCCTTTTCTTTGTTTGTCCCAAACGTGGCATGTTTAGCTATTGGCCATATTTCTATTTGACTGGCCAATTTTTGGGAAACTCCTATTAGGCTATTCCCTACCTCTATTTAACTTCCAAACAAAAACCCATTTCCAAGAAAGATTAATTTAAAACGCTTAGGCTATTTCTAGGATGGTATATTTACGAATATTTAGTTATTATTTATCAAACAACAACTATGATACGCATCCAAATCCAATTATTTGCCAACTCCCATCTCCACACATGACAATTGGTCAATGGGCCCACTTGTTTCAATATTTCAGTAAATAATTCCTCACCGCCAAATCCGATCACAGTCTCATCAACTGACATATTTGGTGGACCATTTTGCCCATAATTTATCCACAAACCGAAAGATTGTAAAAGACCTCTCAATCAGGACCACTTAAAATTGGTGACAATTAAAGACCAATATTTAATCTCCTTAATTGTCATTTTTCCCCCATTAAAAGTGCCACAGCACAAAGGCAGAGATAAAGAGGGAGGGAAAGAGGGACAACTCTGAATATTCCCAAGAAATTGAAGCCCCAAATGCGCAAAAAAAAAAAGAAAAAAAAAGGGAGAAAAAAAGAGAAAAGAAGTTCCCCAAGGCATGATGAGGGACAGATTGCAGGCTTTAGAGGCCCATATGTTGTTGAGTCACACTCTTGTATTTTTGGACAAATACATCGAAATAATTGAACCCAAGAAAAGAGAAAGATAACCCAAAAAATGTTTGGCAGGATAATATGCCGCGAAAATCTAACAACTTTATATTTATACTATTTTTATTTATTTTTAAAAATATTTTAATAGAATATTCTATCAGTATACTCTTCAAAAATACCCCGTTATTTTTGTTGGGAGAGTCTAGTGGGATATTAAAAATATCCCACAACATATTTTATCGTGAATTGAGTGACGTGGCCTCGTTCGTTTCGCTGATTCGAGTTTAAAATTTGAGTTTTGTTACAATAAAAAGCTCTCACAAACAGTCACATCTAACTTTTTTACTATAGTAAAAAGCTCACATAAAATCACATCTCAACTTAAATTCTAAATTCGAATCAGCGAAACGAACAAAGCCAAGTTTTTACAATTCCATAGCATAAATGCAAAGAAAACACATCTTTTGAAAATTTGAGTAGTATTTTTGTATTTTTTTCCTAATTAATTATCAAAAATTATTTTATGATATTTTTAGTTTGGACTGACAACTTAAAATATATTTGATTTACTTTTTTTTTCTCTGAAAATATATTTGATTTCCTTTAAAATGGTGTGATATCATTATTATATTTTTTTTCTCCTATTTATTAAACAATAAAAACAAGAAAGGAAAAAGCTTTTCTTCAGCTTTGACCCCTCCATCTCTCTCTCCCTCCTCTCTACATGCATGAGGAGCCCACAAGACACCCAACTCTTTCAAACACAAAAACTGAAAGTTTTTTTTCTCTCTCTCTCTCTTTCACTTTCACTTTCTCTCTCTTTCCC